ACCATCATGATGGGGAGACATGCCTGAAGAGGGTCACAGCAAGTCTCAAAATGGTGACGGGTTGCTCAGCTTTTTATAGTCTCTAGTGGCCCCCATCTAGTCGTAAAAGCCAAAACATCACATTCTTTCTCCGTTACAGCGCCTAAGTTATGACCCCGGCAGTTGTTTCTCTGCTTTCTAAGGTGGGGGTATGGAATGTGGTCTGTCTATCTCCCCTGTCTTAGACACAGAGTCTCCTTCTCTTCATGATTCAACAATAGAACATGTCAAGAAAACAGTGTAACACATTCCCAGCAGATCAAGGATACAGAGTGAGGCACATTTATCTAATGAACTAATATGTGAATATGTTCTGTTAACTCAAAAGTATAACGAGAACTAAACTACATACAGATCACACACTCTATATTAAAGGGTATAATATGATCTACAGCAGTATTCTAATTCAACTACTTTGATTACATATATAAGGTAACATATAATAACAGAATAATCTAATAAGAGGGAGTCTCTTTAATGAAGACTCCTTCAGTCTTCATTAAAAAGAAGACTCAGTCTTCTTTTTAATGATGAGGATGTACACATCATGGACAGGGAGGAATGCTGGTTTGAGCGGGGAGTCAAGGAGGCCACATGAAAAGGGAAAGCCCATCTCTGAATTGAGGAGGGGGCCTAAAGGTACATCTGTCACCATCTTACAATGCTGTGATTGCAGCCATTCCCGAACTCTCTGTGAATGGTACTTGTGGCCATTGATCAATAGGTTTTGATCAGTGTTCATTGATTAATGGTTGTTGATCCATGGTCATGACAATTTTCATATTAATGATCAACGAACTGACCTCACAGCCCATTGTTCATTCAGTGAACATTTCAGTTATTGTGCAAATGTACTGTTTATAAAATTGGGGAAACCTGCAGTCAGCTGAGACTGAAGAAGTTACTTGGATAAGTGATGATTTCTCCCACTGAAAACGTCCAGATGAACAGAATCAACCTTTTGGGAGTCTTCTTTTATTTTTTAGACTATATATACTTTCAAGCATGTATTGGGGAATATTTGTCAGACTTTTTGGTTATTTGGTTTGAAGCTACAGCGTGATCGTGTCTCTTTCATTTTACATAAATAAATTGGTATCATCTGCATAAAATTGTATGTTTTAACCTTTTCATGTATAGTGGTGACTACAGTGGACAGCTATCCAAAGGCTGTTTTCAGGTATTTGTGTCAGTGTTGATGGTATACTTGCACATAAACCACTACATTAGACACTGATACATTAGACACTGATGTGTCACTCCATACACAGTTGTCCACCTAAGTGTTTAAAAAATAATGAAGTTCAAAATTATTTTTTTTCATGCCTAAAAATGAATAAAAATACTTAAGAAAAATATCCAGATTGAGGTTGTCATAATTCATGCATGAACGGGTTAAACTGAACATGACTTTATGCTGATTTGTTGGTGTTTGTAATGGTTTTCTTTAGGAGATAGAGAAGCATTTTGACCCAGAGGATGACGGTTATGAGGTGGTAGAGGAGGCTCTCTACACTATGACGGGAGTGGCATGGTACATTAATGACATGAAGAGAAAACACGAACATGCTGTCCGACTCCAGGTAACTAATGGCAAAACAAAGTTTTTTCTATACACACTGTAATTATGACTATAAAGTGAAAAGAAAATATTGGGGTAGGGATAGCTCAGTAGGTAGAGCAGCGGCCCCATGATCGGAAGGTTGAGGGTTTGAATCCACTGAACGGCTACCCTGAGGTACCCCTGAGCAAAGTACCGTCCCTACACACTGTTCCCGGGCACCCAATGGTGAATGGGTTAAATGCAAAGAGGAATTTCTCCACTGGGATCAATAAAGTATACATTATTATTATTATTATTATTATTATTATTATTATTATTATTATTATTATTATTATAGAAAATAACTTTAAATGAATACATTCCTGTTTTTAGGCTGTGCAGATGAAGTTCTTATCAGAAGGTAAATGTAAGAGAGGCGTGTCCCAGATAAGAACTATTTATTAGCTCTGACATCTTGTGACAGTTTAGAGAGAGTTTGCTCCCAGTGGTGACATTTTCAAACAGGAAGCCCTGCACTGAATTGCTCTGATAAAGGAAATTAAATCTGGAAAGGTTGAACTTTCTTTTTCTACAAAGTTGTTTCAGGGCTTCCTTCCTTAAAAACAAACCAAAACAACCAAAGGCTGGAGTGTCTGAGTGTTTCTGTGTTTGGTTCTTCAGGAGGTTCAGTCACTGCTGCTAAACTGGAAAGGTCCTGATCTCACCACATACGGAGAATTAGTTCTGGAGGGAAACTTCAAGGTCCATCGAGCCAGAAATGAAAGAACGCTCTTTCTCTTTGACCGGGTGCTGCTCATCACCAAACGTCGCGGCGAGCACTATGTCTACAAGACGCACATCTCTGTGAGTGGCAGCAGACAAACATCTAAGAGCTGCAGGTTTTCAGGTCTTTGTTTTAAGTGCAGGTTTGATTCTTAGTTCTGTCTCTTGGTTTCAGTGCTCCACACTGACGCTCAACGAAAACGCCAAAGACTCCCTGAGTTTCAGCGTCATGCATTACAAAAACCCCAAACAGCCTCACACCGTCCAGGTGAGTCGACCTCCACCCGCCAGCCAACATATTTAAGCCTGAGAGGATCGGAGTTCACTCCGTGTTTTTGTCTTTTAATGTTTCAGGCTAAGACGGTGGAGGAGAAGAAGCTCTGGGCTCATCACATCAAACGCATCATTGTGGAAAACCACCAAGCCATCATCCCACAGAAGGTCAGAAGCATCAGTATACTCACCCATTTCGCTCCAGGTGACCAGTGCAGACACCAGTAATGGTTAGTTGTGTCTTTCAGGCAAAAGAAGCTATCCTGGAGATGGACTCCATCTGTGAGTAAACATCTCTTCTGCTGTAGAAGATTAATAAAAGCAAAGATTAATAAGGATGTGATGAAATGCTCCTCTGTGTTGTTGTTGCTTCCCTGTAGATCCTTCCAAGTACCGTTACAGTCCTGAGCGCCTGAAGAAAGCCACATCCTGCCACTCTGACGAGTTCCCACGAGATGCTCGTCAGGGCCGCCGACAGTCAGGTAATCAGATTACCTGGATTACTGATCAAGGTATCTTGTTGTTATTGATGTGTAACGACCAGTTTTGTTTCTTCTCCAGAGCCAATCAAACAAACCCTGAAAAGCAACAAAGGTAAAGTCATTTCATTGAAATCGATTTTGATAAATCTTTGATCAGTATGTCCACTTTTGTGACTTTTGTCCTCATAGTAGTTTCTTTTGGAACGTTTTTGTTTAGGTTGTATTCTGCCCAGGTTTTAGATTTCCTTCTCAGACATGCATTTGGACCTCTAGGTTATCTCTTATAATATTTTGCAGATGTTTATTTCGGGCAAAATTCAATAAAATGTCTGGACTCTAACAGATTGACCCGCTGTGGACCTAATAAGGGTTAGCATGGTAGAAAACACTGTGAGGATTCTGAGGCCTGTTGCTCTCTGGGCTGATTAAAGCTGCAGATGTTAACCGGTAAAGCTGTTGTGTCTAACAAATCTTTTTGCTCTTGTTCTTCTGCTGAATCCCCTGCTGGACTCTCAGCGCTGCTGGAGGTAAGACCCAAACTCATTGAACACACGCCTGCTTGTTGTTGCTCAGATTTAAAGACTGTTTCTTCTGTTTTCTTCTGTTTATGACTCTGTGAACTTTCTGATGTGTTCTTATGAGCGATGTTTCGGTGAGGGTTACTGAGGCTCAGTCCTGCTGTCAGAGCCACACTTTAGTTTTAGGAAGCAGAAACATGATAGTGTGTGACGTCCTGCAGTGCTCAGATGACAGGCGCTCTCTGCGGGCCACCGTCAGCAGCAGCATGCTGGGGGAGTCTGTCACGGAGGAGGAGGCGGAGCTCGGCAGCAGGAAGGACTCGCTAGAGCGCCTGCTGTGCAGCGTGGAAGAGGCGGGTCAGTTGGATGATGCTCTGCTGGAGGACAAGCAGGTAGACGACTTTGCTAGTTCCGTGCTCGCTGCCATCTCCTGCTGGCACGTCACTGTCCAGGCCTTCTTTTCCACCGCGGGGACGGTGAGGCTTTCCGGTGCCAGCCCAGTCTTCATCACCCGCAGCCCCTGTAATGCGCTACAAGGATGCTGCTGTGGAGCTCAAAATAACTGCTTCATGGGCATCTAACACTAGCCGAGCTGCATGCTTGGGTTCAACACACTTAACTACCGCAGGGTGACCACATGGGGCAGCGTTTAAAGGAACTGACAATATTTGGATGAAATTCATTGTTTTTTGTTTTCCTTCAGTCAGATTGTTTCAGATGGGTCACTTTCTTTGCAAAAGGTTTAGCTTAGATTAGTACAAAGACTGGAAGCAACAGCAAACTGCTAGGCTAGCTTTGTTAAAACCTCACATCTATCAAATCAGAAAGATGTTGAGGTTTTATGAGCACTCATGACCTCAGTCATCATCTCTAAAGTCCTAACCTCTGTGAATCTTATCAATCTGTTTATCTATAAGCACATTTAAAAACAACACAGTTGACCAAAGTGCTGTACAAACTAAAAAGTGAAACAAAGACACAACGAGAACAAAACAAAAACTCAGTCACAGTTAAAAGTTAGGGAGTAAGGATGTGTTTTCAGACGGGATTTAAAAATGTCGAGTGTTGGAGAGATCCTCATTTGAAGAGGCAGACTGGTCCAAAGTTTAGGCACAGCAATCGCAAAGGCCCGGTCACCTCTGTGTCTTAGTCTGCTTCTAGGAACAATCAGAAGCAACTTATCACCTGACCTAAGCGTTCTACTAGTTCTAATCCATTATAAGAGACTTAAAAACAAGCAGTATGCTCTTGTTCTGATGGCTAGTTGGTTAGCTAACACGTGGAGCTCCACAAGGTTCCATCCTGGGTCCTCTCCTGTTTGAATAAATACATACTCTGGTGTTTAAAAACAAAACATTTGAAGATGATGTTTCCTACAATAGAAAAAAGTTGACCAAACTGAGCATTTAAACCAGAAAGAGATTTATGCCGTTATTATTCTTATTATGGCAAAGACTGGTGCAGCACTTTATTTTGTGATTATTAAAAGCAGAAATGTGCATAAATATCCAGGGTAACCTACTACTGTAGCTAATTCACACACCAACTGTCACGGACCGCCGGGGCAGACCGTGTGGAGTGAGTGGAGGACCCAAGAGCAAACAGAGGTGAGGACACAAAACCGGACTTAACAGAAGGCGAGCCTTTATTGAGGGCCGAAGACTTAAGGAACAAGGCAGCAAAGCAACTGAGGGAAAACCTGAACATAGACTGGGAAAACTATGGCTAAACAAAGTACAAACTAGGACTAGTTAAGGCTGGGGAACTATGACAAGGGGTAGGGGAGATAACACAGACGACGCGACGCAGACTACATGAAACACAGAGACTAAATACACATGAGGGATGATCAGGGGAAGTGGCCACACATGGGATCACAGCTGACACACATGAACCTAACGACAGGACAGGAGGGTGCAACTGAATACACTGACAATGAATACAGACTTACAAAGTAAAACAGGAAACATGGAAATTAGACACGACAAGAACTAAACATAACCACGCAGACAGGACTCATGACCCAGGGAAACTTAGTACAGGGGAGATGACATAGCTGACAGCATGAACTTGACAGTACAAGACACACAGACATAAACACACGAAGGGCAAGGGAGACTTAATGCAAGGGTAATATATACAAATGGCTGGACTACCCTAGAGAACCTAAACAAACAATAAACATCAAAATAGGCTAAACATAACACACTGGGTCACACGACCCAGGACCATGACACCAACAGGTGTAACTTAGGAAGAAGTCTGTGAGAGTCTCTGTGAGGACGTGAGCAACCAGGTCCTGTTTTTAGGTTGGTTGCTGATATGAATGCAGCTCACAGTGTCTGTACAGCCCAAAGTCGCTGAGCCAGCTGCCCAAATATTATGTCCCATGTTTGCTTTTCAAAGGTGGAAATAAAGAACAGGTCCATGCCACATACCTCATGCAAAGTGCTTCAGCTGAAAAATACCCAGCTGCCCACCGTAATCTTTTCACTGAAGGCCATACTGTGGTCAGTGTCTGGAACATTATTTGGTTTGTTGATCATGACATCAGTTTGATGTCTGAATGACATCAGTACCAGGTCAGGACACCAGCGCTGTATTGTAGCAATCCCGGGCGTGCACATTATTCCACAGCAGCGGGAAAAACAACCTCCTTTAACCACAAAAGCATTTTCTGTTATGTTTTCCAACAACACGAGTGCTCTACATTTTCACACTGAGAAATAATCTCATTGACTTCTGTGCCTCCTGCAGTGTCTCCGTCAGTACCTCCTTCAGTGCCTCCTTCAGTTGGGGACATTGACTTTAGAAGTTGTTTATTGTAAACAGAAATGTGAAATGTGAGCAGATTAATGAGGCACACTGACAGTTTTTCTTGGATCAAATGTTTTTGCTAAGCGAAGGTTGTCTGTATGCACTGAAACACCCGACTCTGGAGAACAAACAAACAAAGACTTCCCAAAAACTGTTCCTGTCGTATTAAAGAATGAGAACAGCTCTTTGACTGATTTTGGCTTTTTATCTTTGCAAAGTTTAAAAGTTGTTGTTTTGTTGTTTTTTTTCCTCTGGGAGCTTCTTCGAACATTCGTCCTGCAGCTTTACATCCATCTTTGTCTTTAGTGCTGTGAGCATGAATACGATTGGTGATTCCGCGTTTCTAGGTGTGGTTGGATGAACTGGACATTTGCTGCTGCCTCTCACAGTTTTGTTGCATTGATTTGCATTGATGGCTGCTCTGTATCATGTAATAAATAAAGGTTCAGTTCACACAATAATAACAAACACTCTTTAAAACCGAGTAAGAAGCTTTTCCATGAACGACACTAATGACTTCTTGGTTTGATTTTTTAAAAATCATATTATAAAAACTTTTCTTTTCCTCCAGCATTTCTTGACTTCCTGTTCTGTTTGTTTTTTGCTGAAGGAGACAGAGGGAGGCAGCGTCTCTTCAGACAACTCTAACAAAGAAAATGGACAACTCCCTGAAGAAGAAGAGCCAGGTGGCACCGAGCCGACACCTAAGCAGGTAAGTAACACTCAGTCGCTGACTTGCAGTTGTGAGGCCATCTCCATCTCCAGATCGCCCAATCTCTGGGCTGTCAGTGCTTGTTGATTTTGAGGGGTGGGGGGTGTTTGCAGGTGGTCGTAATCTCTTGCATCATGGCTCTATTTCCCACCTCTAATTACTGCTTCTGTGTTTTTGTCCTGTCCAGCCAGCAGTAGAGAAGCTACCACAGGAGAAGATGTCTGAACCAATCTCAGAACCAGAACATTTCACTGATCAGACCCCTTCCAACATCTCCAATTCCTGTCGAAATTCAGACAACCTGAAACCTGAAGTAGATCCAGAACCCACAGAGGAGCCATCCTCAGCTACACCTGATTCAGATTTGAAGACCTTGAGCAGTGGGGAGTCCTCTGATGATGAGGACAACGAGAAGGAGACAGCAGAGAAGGAAGGCGAAGCCACCAGCATCCTCCCGTCCTCCGTCCTGGACAAAGCTAGCTCCATCGCCCAGCACTTCACCAACAGCATCAAGCGAGGCACCGTGGCCCAGGATGACGCCCGCTCGCTCGGTTGTCCTTCACCTCGGTTACCCAGCAGGAGTGGCAGCAGCCTCAGCCTGAGTGCCGAAGCAGACGACCGACCTCCGCGGCTCTGCAGCTTTGTTGCCGATCCTGCAGAGACCTTCGGTGGGTCCGATTTGACCATGTTGTCTCCTCGAGATGACAGTCTCTTTGACAGCGACCGAAGCATTAGGCGAAGACGGGACTCTACGCTGTCCAAGCAGGACCAGCTGCTCATTGGGAAAATCAAAAGTTACTATGAAAATGCTGAAAACCAAGATGCCACTTTCAGTCTTCGGCGCAGAGAGAGCCTCACATACATACCATCTGGGTTGGTCAGGAGCTCCGTCAGCCGGTTCAACAGCACCTCGACCTCCTCCACCTCCACTGTGGACCCTACTTATGCAGAGTCACACTCTGCTTTACCCCAAAACACCCAGGATCTTATGGGCTGTAGTGGCTCTTTGGACTCTTTGAAGTCTGAACAAAGAAGCACTGATCCAGAAGATTCAGAAGGCAGCCAGGGGTCCAGGTCTCAAAGTGTGCAGGATAATCTCTCTGATGATGAAGACTTCAAACCTTCATCTGAAATGATTAAGATCTGGCAGGCGATGGAGCGAGACATCAAAAAATCCCAGAGTGAAGATGGAGGGCAGGATCAAACCAAAGAAGCTGCAGTAACCTCCAGAACCTCCGGCCTTTCTTTCCCAACCAAAAACTCTTCCCAAGAAAGCAGAGCTTCTGATCTCAGAACAATCAAAGAAGAGTTGACAAGCCCTATGCCCCTCAAGCCCAAAGCCTCGGAGGTGAACCGGACAGGAAGCGTGAGGGACACGCTAAAGATGTTTGGGGAAGAGGCTGCCGTCCTCAGGGCTCCAGTGCCTCAGGTCAACCAGCTGAAGGTGGAGGCAGAAAAGGACCACCCCAGTAGCGCTTTAGACCAGGTGGTCGAAGTGGACAAGATGGCGAGCAAAGTCCTCCACCTGGCTCGTCAGTACAGTCAGCGAATCAAAACCTCCAGTCCGATGGTCCGACAGCGAAGTCAGGGTCTCCTATTTGGAAAGAAGAGCTTAGCCAGTGTGGTAGAGGAGAGGGAAGGTTCGGGTACGTCACTTTGCACACTGCTTAACATTTCTAACCAGCAATCCTCAAGGAAATCTAGCTATTGATTGTCTATGTGACCATAGGACCACTAAATCTTCAATCAACGCAATTCAGAAACTGTATTTAATTCTCTTTTGACTTCTTGACATTCACCAGATCATCAGTGACCTTTTGAGGTACAGTTAGGGTTATCGATCGTCAACCTATCCATTTTATATGAAATTCTAATTTAGAAAATCAGATAGTACACCTGTAAGGTGATAACACAAAGGAGAGACTGGATTAAAAATGTATCTTTTTTTATATACCATGTACGGGAAAAGTGTGATGTTAACCCTGACCATACTCTGAGTCCTGCACGGGCTCGATGACCTGCTGGATGTTAAGAGATTAATTGTTGTAAATGTTTGTTCTGTGTGTTTGCAAAACTGGGTATATATTCAGTCCTGCTCAGCCTGAGCCTGCCCTGCCTTCAGCAAACTCTGCTTCTTTAAATAAACCATTTCCTGTTGAGCAACCGATCAGTCCAACCTGCCCACACACGCTTAGTCTGCACCCGCTGCATGAAAAGAAAAACAAAAAAACAATGGTACCACATGTAGTTATAACACTGTACTGCCACCTTCAGGTAAAGATGGTAAAATGCGCTGCTTAAGGGCAGATTATAATCTGAACAGCCTAAAGTGATGAGCCCATCTTTCCTGAAGCTGAAGTAAAATATCACAGCTGCATGTGGTACCATTGTTTGATTTATGTAGAAGCCAAACATATATTTATGGATTATTACGGCTTTTGTTAATCATTTCTGTCAGTTATCGGAACACTGTAACGATCAAATTTAAGAGTGATTTAAATATGTTTCGTTTGTTTTGTTTTTTTCTGGCAGGTAAATCCAGCCTGACTCTGCCGCTGGTTTCTCATAAGCAGGCAACTTCTTTGCCGCTGAGTCCCGTAAACCACGTGAGGTCTTTAACCCTCGGCTTCACCTCCAGCTCAGCGGGAAACTCCAGGGGCGTCTCCTCGGGCCGGCCTCACTCTCGCAGCCCCCTCAGTCCACCTCCTCCCCTCGAAGGCTTCAACTGGCCCGATGTCCAGGAACTCCGTTCCAAGTACTCCGCCAACAGCTGCTCCCAGAAGAGCGCAGTCAGTCGAAGTCGATCCATCCCGGACCAGTTCGACAGCAGTCTGAGGAGGCACTCCAGCTGCTCCTCAGGCTGCTTCCTCGCTGATGAAGCTCCCAGAAGGGTTTCTTCACAAAGGCCTCACAGAAACGCCAGCCAAGAGGAACGCAGCAGACGGCTCCTCAGAGCCAATTCCCTGGATCCTCGGCTGAGTGAATCTCAGATGAGTGAGTTGCAAAAGCACCAGGACCAGGTGGCAAACGACGGTTACTACATTGCAGCTGAGGCCCCCCTAACAAACGACCCCGAACACAAGATCATTGTCATGGAGAAGCTTCCAGAGCCAGAAGAAACAGCCAGAGACAAAACAGATGAAAGTTACGTCCAGATCCGTTCACCCACCAGCAGAGAGAAGATCTCCATCATGGCTGTCATCGACCGGTGCCGGGCCTACCAGGAGTCTGACGAATACCAACAGAGGGAGGAACTGAAGGCCAAAACCGAGCAGAACAAGTCCACAGCATTGTCTGCTGATCAAGATGTTTCCCAGAAAACGAGATCAACCTCAGGACCGAAGGCGGAAGGTCAGCAGAGCATCGTGAAGAACCTGAGGGAAAGGTTTCAGAGCCTGAGCTGAAGAGAGAGTTGTCCGAGCTCTCCTCTACATGTTACAACTCTCAGTTTCTAACCAAAGATGTAACAATGACAAGCTGCTCAAGTTTTAATGATGACATAATTATTTAATTTATGTGAGCATGAAAGGAAAAGCTGTTCTAGCATGTGGTAATGGCACAAATGTTCAGGGGGGTGAAATATTAAAACAAAGAAGTTATCATATGTGTATATAAAGTCTGCAGTTAGAATTCTTTCTGCTATCTGAGAAATGTAAATATCTTATTGGAAATCTTGATGGGAGCACCTTTCTGTGCAGGATGCCATGTTTTACACAGGGTTATTACATCATTTTCTGTCCAGGTGGAATCAGGACTACACTAAGGGATCGCTTAAAGCTCCAAACTGCAGCCACTTAAACTTAAACTTTAAAGCTCCACTGTGAGAGGACTAACCACTAAACTCACATTCATTCCCGGTGTAAAAAGCGACCAGGTTGAGTGTGTGCTGTGTGCCAAGCATTTCACCTCTTCACCTGACCTCCCTGAAGCCCCAACTCCTGTGACTCAGAGGTCAGACTGATGCAGTCGTTTGGAATTACTGCAGCACTCGATCACTGATTTTAAATTTCAGAATATGGATTTTTGGATTTTAAAAATATGGAGGTCTACATTGTCAGCACCAGACTCACCTCTTTGTTTTCAGAGGTCTTGTTGCAGAAATTACGGCCTTCATATTTCACTTGTTTGATGGTGATTTTATCAGAGACCACCCATTCCTTGGTGATAATGAGTCTTTGAACAGTCACCTCTGAATCACCAGAGCTTGGTTGGGGTATTTGGACCACCCGGAGCAGCGGGGTGTTGGTAACGCCACCGTTCGGTGAGGTCAGATTGTTCTTTGTGTTAATGTCTGCTTGATATGAAGGCAGCTTTAATCCCTCCGTGACACACAACCACAAAGACCAAACCGTCCTTTAAAGGAGCGGTACTTTATATTGAACTCTCTGTGACTGGCTGCGTTTAGACTGTCTGTAGGGGGATGTGTTGGCTCCAAAAGAAGAGGAAAAGCCCCTCAGAGTTTGTGTGATCTGCACTTTGTGAGTTGGTAACTAGTAGAGTGAGGAGCTGACCAAGCTGGTCGTGACTGAGGGCTGGGGTGAGAGGCCTCGTCACGATCAGGACTTCCTCTCCCGGATCCGCCTGCTATAGATTCAGACTGTTGAGACTAGAAGACGGTTCAGTGAAGCCAACATGAACGCACCTGATACCTGCACACAGTGTCAGTTATTGATCATCAGCTTCCAGTCACACTGATTGATTGTGGTCACCATGTTAAAGTCAGACTGTTCCTTCCAGTGACTAGAACTTTAAAGATATAACCACGAGTAATTGTTCACGACAGCCAGAGCAGTGCACAGAGCCCCAAACCTGCCTCATTAGAAAAAATAAATAAATAAACACAGGTGATGGATTTATTACCTGTCCAGTAATTACTAAACTGTAAATAAGTGAAGTACAAATGATTTTTTTTTTGTTTGGCCAAGTTCTCTTTTTCCTGTTAACAATCATAAATATTCAACTGTAAAAGTCATTAGTAGTTTATTCAATAATTGATATTTAAAGGAATTTCAGTTTTTGTGCCTTGTTGTATTTCATCATATTTTATGTAAGTCAATATTTTCCTAATAAGTCATGTGTTGGACTCTGCTGCTAGCACTTTGTTCAGAGGCACATGGCAGATTTCAACATGTGACTTCCCACCTGCATATCCTGCTCCTCAGTCCACTGTCAACAGTAATGTGACGATGTCATTTACTCCTTATTTATTTGATCAGATGTAAATAGAAACACATCACCTGTCTTTCTATAAATGTGTGCGTGTGTGTCTACAAATGTGTTTGTATGACGTCTGTTCTGCAATAAAACTAAATATAGAAGAAAAAGCGCGTACATTCTTTACATGTACACAGTATTATGTGTTGGTGTCATGCACACAGTTCTCTTCCTGCAGCATCCCTGTCGGTCACAACGACTCTGCTCATTGGTTGATGGATGCAGGCTCGATTTCATACTGAAGAAGCTCAGAGTCGTGCAGCCAGCTAACGTTAGCGCTCAGACTGCTCCTCTCACATTACTCACCCAGAATTATCGTGCTGATAAACACTGTGCACGCCATAATTTGATGTTAAATTTGTGTTGTTTTTTTTAAGTATGATAGAATGACGTAAAGTAATTGATGACAACCATCATCAATTACTTTGCGTCATCCCTCCGTGATGATGATGGTGGTTGTCATCAATACTGTAAAAGAAGCCTGTACAGACATTTATTACACACCCAGTGTGTAGGGTTTACACTAGGGCTGGGTATCGTCACTGATTTCTAGAATTGATTCGATTCCGATTCACAAGGTCCTGAATCGATTTGATTCGATTTGAATAGGGGAAATTTTGCCTCAGACAGTCAGAAATATTATAATTCTGTACTTATCAGTACATATCTATATTTTTATAGATAAAAAGAAAGCTGATACTTGTGAGACTTTATCAAAGGTGTAAGCATCACAGCAGATGCCTTTGTTGCAAAGTAACTGAGGATAAAACACAGGAAAAATATGAAGGCGGTTTTCCTGGTCTCGGTTTTTATATCAGATGACCTTAAAAATATTGTGCAGTCAAAAACGAAGACAAGCAGAGCAAAGTTGTTGTTTTTTTTGTTTTGTTTTTTTTTGCCTGTCCTGTTTGGCCATCAGAATTATTGTCTAAAGGCGAAGAAAGATGCCCAACGGATTTACTATACCAAATGGACCATCCCAGCCTTGCCGTAATATCTATTTGATTCACCTTTTATTGTTTATTTTATTTTTCATTTTCACTTGTTAGATATGGGACAGACTTGAATGAGGAAAAGAAAAGGGAGAAAGAAAGAGGGAAAGAAAAACAGCAGAGAAGAGGGATGGGGATAAAGGGCAAAAAACAACAAAATAAGCAGACAAAAAAAATACATATATCAATCACCTGGATCACCTGTTGAGAAAGAAAAAAGTAAATACTAAATATTAAACATTCTGCAGCATGCAAGATCGACAGCGCACAGTGTGCTTTGAGGTAGGAGCCAAAAAGGGTGTAGTTTGTGTGTATGAGCACCCGTGTGTACACCTGTGAGCATGAACGCGCTTGTTTTTAAAAGGTTCCTTCATGTAATGATCTGCTAGAGGGTGTGGGGGGGCCACAGCCCCGTCCTCCAGGGCATGAAGCAGATATGGAGGAGATCAAAACTCCAGACATCCAGAGGCCCCCAGAACACAAGAGACCAAGGAAGACCAACAGAGGGGCAGCCGCGCCACTGTCCCAGAAAGAGCTGAGGAGAGTCCCAGATGAGGGCTCACTCAGCAGCAGAAGCCAAGGGGGGGTTGCAGTGACGCGCCCGTGAGCTCCACCGGCAGCCAGCGGTGCCAGAGTGACCAAGCCCCAGGCCGAGAGGCCGAGGGCACCCCACCCCCGAAGTGGCCCGAGTGAGCCCCAACAAGCAGCCACCAAGGAGTGAGCCGGTGTGTACCTGGACGCCCATCCCTGGACACAAAGAACCACCAACGCACCGATGTCTGAGGAAGTCCGCCACTGGCAGGGGAAGTGGTGGGGGGAGATAGGCCTCCAAACCTTGGAGGGCCCGAGATGTCCCCAGAGAGGTGGCGTCTGATACCCGACCTGACATATGGACAAAGACAAACAGGCACACACAGATGCAAACATCCATTCCCACCCTCATGCTCTCATATGCAATTACTCAGCACTCACCCAACGTGGAGACAGACATAAAGAGACGCTGTACACACGATCACACTCCCCAAGCGTACTCTAAGCCCCGGGTCTAGGTACCCTTGCCCCTGGAGGGGGAAGCTGCACCCAGACCTAGGTGGTGTTACCCTTTTCCCTGGGGTGGGGAGAAACAGACCACTCCGACTCCGCAGCAGCAGGGAGGCCCCATATTCCAAACCCCAGTTTGACGGCCAACTTCTCCTCCTAGCCCTCCCGCTCCAGCAGGCCGCAGAGAACGGGGGTGTGTGAATACTCCAAACCTCCCTCCACCCGCTCATTGTAGTGTTGATGCATGTGTGTTCTAAGGTGCCTTTAAAACCCAGGAGGGCATGGAGCTACCTGCCAGAGAGCAGCAGGTAAGCACATAGCCCCTCCTGCTAGCCCTCAATGTATACATGAAGCAGAGCAAAGTTACAGAGGTTTGATTAGAGACACAGCTAAGCATTTTGCAATTTTGCATAATTTTAAAAAGTTTAAATTTGTTCAGTATTGAACAGCAGAAATGAGGCTTTCTTGTTGGAGGTAAGTAAAAAAAAAACAACTTAAAAAAAAACAGCGGGCGACAACATAGTCTGGTGAGTAGTAAGCAGTGTAGGGACTAACGCGTTATTAAGTAATGTGTTACAGTAACTATGTTATTATTGTGGTAACGAGCACGGTAACTAGTTATGCCAAAATCAGCAACGCATTAATCGTTACTGGGATTTAGATAGGGTCGCTATTTCGTGTGGTGGCTATCGTGGAGCTTTCTCAGATTCAGTAATATTAGCAAGTGGTGGAGGCCAGCAGGTGGATGAGGGAAAAGGGAGGCAGGAGGAGGAGAGACACGAGGCGGCGGCCGCCGGTCCCAGTGTCAGGTGAACTGGACTTCAGGTAAGAAGTTATCACCTGCAGTCTATCTGGGTCAGATATAAACCAAGTTTAGTTGGAGTTTATTTTCGTTATGCTGACTTTTTCGTACTGGGTACTAGCTAGCAGGACTGAGTTTCTATACAGCTGGGTGGGTGCTATGATGTTACTGATGTTGAACTTTATTTTCTTCATAAGGTAATTATAAGAGTTGCCAACCGTCCCCTAAAAAACCGAATCGTCTTGTATTTAGAGAAAATATTACGTGTTTCGTATTGTGGGCGACCGTGGAACAGGGGGTTGGGAAGCACATCTGTAACCGGAAGGTCGCCGGTTTGATCCCCAGTTTGTCCTGGTCGTTGTGTCCTTGGGCAAGACACTTTACCCTACCGCCTACTGGTGGTGGCCAGAGGGGCCGATGGCACAATATGACCCCAGGGCAGCTGTGGCTACAGCTGTAGCTTGCCTCCACCAGTGTGTGAATGCGAGAGTGAATGAATAGTGCATTGTAATGTGCTTTGGGTGCCTTGAAAAGCGCTATATAAATCCAATCCATTATTATCAGCTGTTGTTAGAATTTATTTAATATTACCTTCTAGTACCAGCTGATGTTTGCTGGAGCCACAGCTGTAAAAGCTGCTGGACATGATATCATTTGGTTATCTGGTGAGAGGGAAACATGAAGATGAAACCAGGAGATGTCCTTACTGAATCATCAGAGCTGAACAGGTGATGGAGAAATAGGTTTACCTTTTGGGTGACATGAATGAGTTGAAGGGAAGTTATGAACTGTTTTAGAGAGACAAATAACACCAGGATCTTCTTTTTACTTAGCTGACAGCTGGTAACTGCGTAGGGGCGGGTCTGGCACAGTCAACGGCGGTCCAGGCGTGGGATTTCTCTCGTGGAAATATGCACATTATTTTTTCCTTTCTATTGGTAGGTGGCACAGTGCACTTGTGGCGAGTAACAAGCTAGAGGACTGGTAATCTTGTTGGGTATCCAGTTACGGAAGCAACACATTAACAAGAGAATTCTGAGTAAAACAAAAGTTACTTTCCCTAGTAACTAGTTACTCTGAAAGTAACAAGTAACTTGAAGTAACTGAGTTACTTTTGATAGAAGTAACTAGTAATGTAACTAAGTTAATCATTTAAAGGAACTTACCCAACACTGCTAATAAATAAGCGAATAATGCAAAAAACAGATTTTTAGCGTTGGGTCCGCGTTTTGTGTTTATGTCTTTGTGCAGAATCCATGTACCTGCTCTCATTTACTGTTTTTGCTGTTTGGTGGTTGTAGAAATTTTGTGAGGTTTAACCTGAGATCCTGGCGTTTTAGGCAAAATACATTTATGTTTAAAAATCGATTCAGGATTTTAATGAATTGATATCACGTTATCCAAGCCAGAATTGATTTTAATTGATAAATCGATAATCAAAACCCACCCCTAGTTTACACCCCAGCTGCCCTAAAGTAACAGCATTAATAACGTTCATGTTTTTGTACTGGTTAATCCAGCAGTTTGCACAAGCTCTGTAAATGCTTAAATACATTCAGTGTTATTCTCTTTTTTCTTGTTTTTGTTTTTTTGGGGGTTTTTTTCGCCTGTCCCGTTCAGCCCTGATAATCAGAGTTATTGTGACACACATCTGCACCTGGCGCTATCACCACGTTTGAATTCTCGTTTTATGCACATTACATTTGTGACTTTCAGTGTTTTCAGTTTTTGTCTTGCACATAAACCTTTAAACTAAATGAAATGTTTTATTTTCAGCCTACTGGTGAAGGTTCTGGGCTGCCTTTACTCATAACAGCCATTCCTCAAGAGTCTCCCCATTTAAAGCAATGCACTAACAGGGACTGTAACATCTAGTCCTTTTTACTGAATATACAATAGTATAAGTCGCCCTGCCTCCAGCTAGCCAGTTAGATGGCACAGATTTGGTGCTTCTAGTGGAGTTTAGCCCATTTATTCCCTTTGTACAGGCTAATATGCTCAGCATTGAAAAGACATCAGTAAGAAAGTATATTTGTCCTCCACAGAGCGTCTCGGCCTAACACAGGCATCTGTTAGCCTCATCGTGCAGTAAGTCTGTGGGTAGACTGACCTTGTGGCGGGAAACTTTGCTAGAATCAGTGCTGGATCAGAAATTCATCCCAGAAACAAACTCACTGAGGGCTGGTTCTGCTGGTTCTGGACCAGCTATAGCTGGTATTTGAACGATCAATTGTTTCACAGGATGACAAGCA